TAGATACTTTATTTTTTACCACGATATTTTGGACGACGATGATTTTAAACTGCGAATTTTTTGAACCGCTTTATTTTCGACGACGGCGTTTTGTACCACGATGTTTTAGAACTGCGATGTTTTCTCTTTGCGATGTTTTCTCCCATGATGTTTTGTAGCACAGCGTTTTCGCCTTGCGTTATTTTCTCTGCGACGTTTTCGTCCGCGATGTTTTTGCAGCGATGTTATCGGCGAACACCCGAGAAACGTACATACAGTTATGCTTAGTTATAAATTTCTTCAAGTTATAATACAGAGCGATAATATTTGATGGAAACAGTGAAACGGACATATATAGTGAACCAACGCAAAACGAAAATAATAGTCCGTCAGGGACATACCCCTTTTTACTAAACTTTAAATTACATCTAAAGGTGCTTTTTCTTAGCATTTTGCCTGTTACCTTTATTTATTAAATATCCCGTTCTTCGCACTTAAACCATATACTTCAGTTTAAGAGCAAAATCGCAAAATAGCTTGAGCATATCTATAGAAATTCCGATACACAGTCTCGCGCGCTGAAGATAAAAATATTTTTTCTGTACAACGTTGCCATTACTCGCTTTGAAATCCTTGATATTGTTAATCAAAAAATTTGTTAAAGTTTTACAAAATATGAAATCGATAATAAAAAAAAAATTCAAATTTGGGCTTCAAGATGCCCATACCAGCAGTAGGATTACGTCATTCAAAATTCCATGGTACCGTTGTTTTATCACAATACATTTATGCAGATTTTTCTTTATTTAATTTTATTCAAATATAATGGTGGTGGCAACAGTTTTTTAACTCTAACATTTGGTGGCAACAGTTTTAAAAGTGAAGCGAACATTTATAATGAGCCAACGCAAAATCGCAAAACGAAAAGAATAGTACTTAGGGGACAAAGCCCCTTTGGACTAAAAAAAAATCTGAAATGTTTCAGATTTTAAATTACGTCCAAAGGAGAGTTTTTTAATCGTTTTATGCGTTACCTTTATTTATTAAATATCATGTTAAACATCCTCAAACTATAAAATTCAGTTCAACAGCAATATCACAAATTAATTTTAAAACGAGAATATCTTTAGAATTAACGTTAGCGTCTCGCGCGCTGGAGATAAAAATGTGTTTTTTACTTCCTTGTACGAAGTAAAAGAAAGTATTGCACTCGCGAAAAGTTTCAGGCAGCATATTTCAAAGAAAATATCCCATTTTCACCTCTTTCAAATGCAATTTAACGATGTATTTCCGTGATATCTGTATGTAAGGACAGAATAAAACACTCTTTTCCTCCAAAAAAATTATAAAACTGCTTTAAAATGAATTCTGAAGAGAATATTTCGTGGCGTCTGTACGAACGTATGTACGTACGTATCTCGCATAACTCAACGAGTAGCCTCAGAACGTTGAAATTTTGTATATAGGAATGCTATAACATGTAGATGTGCACCTCGTATTTTGGTTGCAATCGACCGCACCAAACGTATATAAATATATTTATATATATATCCACTCTGTTATCCGGCTCAGTGATCTCAGTTTCTTTACTCTTATATGTTTGTAAATTGTACATTTTTTGCTTTAAAAACGATTGAATTATGTTGTTCTTATCTTCCGGTTAAGGTTTCTATGCCTTTAGTAAATCTGTATGCAATATTTTTAGAATTATCAACAATTTTAAAATTGTTTAAGTGCCGGTAAGCCTAATAATTCTTTTGATGGCGGCCATTGCTTGTTTACATTTGAAACAGCAGACTAGTGGATTTGTTGCCAATCTAGAGAAAATTAGCTTCAGAACAACAAAGATAAAACCTTCATTTGTTATTTAAATCATGCTTAATCCTTTCTGGAATTTTTTCGAGGAAATACACGTTTAAGACTTACTTCGTAATTTTCATACAGATATTTTGAGTTTTTATGCATTTCTGCCTTGTCGCGAAGTGAAAACTGAATTAATTGAATGAGAAATACTCAATCGTCTGTGAAAAACTGTTTTTTTTTTGTTTGCTTAATTTCTTTTATACATAGTTTTAGCTTTATTATAGTATTTATGTGGCAACGATTAGAAAATTCTTTAAATGATATAAATTTTGTGCATTCTGAGTTATAATATGAACGAAATATAATACTGTTAAGTAAACCTAGCGCCAGAGTGTCGCTATGGTAAACAAAGTGAATTTTAAAGAATGCATTTATTCTATTGTGGTTTATGCGCTGTCGGCGAAGTAGGTTTAATTCAATGTAATATGTTTAAATGAAATGCAAGAAAAATTGCGTGTAATTTCATATTCCGTACAAGGAAGTCATGTAGTGTACACATCAGATTTTTTCGTACAGTGTTGCCGTTGCTCGCTTTGAAATCGTTTGTTTTTTTTAATCAAAAATCGTTGAACTGTTACAAAATCTGAAATCGATAATACAAACAAATTTCAAATTCAAATTAGCTCTTCCATATGCCCGTATTCTATGGAAGATTACGTTATTCAAATTTTGCTGGCTCTAGGCACCGTTGTGTTATCACAATGCGAGAAACATGCATACATTTATGCAGATTCTTCTTTATTTAATTTCTTTAAATGTAAGACAGAGTGATAATATGTGGCAGCAACGATTTCAAAAGTGATACAGCCTTTCAAAGTTTTCGACCCAAAATGCCGAAACGAAATTAATAGTCCTTCAGGGCTAATTGCCGTTTGGACTAAAAAATGTTGTTGTCTCCAATGTGCGAGACTGTTTATCGGAAATTCTAAATATATGCTGTTTTTAAATATTTTGTGATATTGCTGTTGAATTGAATTTGATGGTTTAAGTGCTAAGAACATGATATTTAGTAAATATAGATGACAGACAAAACGTTAAAAAGAATTCCCGGGTAATAAAACCGGTGTAATAATAAAATTTAAAAATCGTTCGTTTTTTTTTTTTTTTTCTTTTTTCAAGATGAAAACTTGATTACAAATTTAATCTCCTATTTTGTGTTGTAAATTTTAATTGTTTTGATTATTAGATCAAGTTAAATATCTAGCATTAGAAAATTGATGTTATTTTTTTATAACTTTACATAATTTGTCAACATTTAGAGTTCAAATGATATTATTGTTTTCAGTGCATTTGATTCATGCTGAAATTGTAATAATATGTAATTGTGTCTGATACGTTTGTGCAAAAATTTATCCTTGTATATAAATTTTCTGTACAATACGAAAAAATGATAAAACTTGTAAGTTTAACTGGGTTTTTATACGTGACGCAGTAACGTTTTTGCTACTTTACCGCGTGATTTTCTGGTGCAATTCGAAAGTACATTTGGCTAGCAAACGGAATGTGAGGAGTTTAAAGGTCAGGTTCTTTTCGAAGATTTTTTTCTTATGTTATCTAGATCCTGATGAGACGTACACCTTACAAAATATAGAACTGTCATTTTTTTTAATCATCCGATTTACTAGGCCGACTAACTAAGTTTAACTTAGGGTTTTCATGTTTCGAAAGGGCAACATAGGATATATGTTAGATTTATATATAGCACTGTAGAAGCATAGGTATTTTGACACAAAATCGGACTTCTTCCAAAGTTAAAAAAACGACTTTTTTCCCCCATATTTCGATTCTATGATTCAGATTATGCAGACGTGCCAAGTTTTCTAAAAATCATACGAATAGTGCTTAAATAATAGTGCTCTAAATTTTTGCTCTTAGATGTTAACTGAATTTGATAATATATTACTATATATTTTTTTGTTTTTTAAACTTAACTACATTCTTTCTTTCACAGCCCAAATTTAGGTTCAATCCAAATAAAATTCGCAGATGCTTTCCGATTTATTTTTAAAATTTATAGGTTTTAGTAATTTTTCTAAACTTTTTGACCGGAGAAGTGTTTGTAGTCGGAATTGAATTGAGAAATATTCTTGAATATTCCTCACATTGTCTGCTTTCTTATTTTGCTGCATTATATATATATATATATATATATGAGTTTTGAAAAAAGTGTTTATTTGATGTTTGTTAGTGAATGAATTTGGCTAGCACATTGCGCAGCAGCACCAGAGGGCCGGGGTTCGAACCCCAGGCTGAGCAAGGTTGACTCAGCCTTCATCCCTTGGGTCGATAAAATCAGTACCAAGTTCGCTTAGGGACTAAACACTGGGGGGGGGCTGCGACAGGACAGGGCAAAGCATGGGGAGCACCTGTGCAGTGCCAATGGCAGATTAGGTTATGCTCCGTCATGCTATCCATCTAGAGGGCTCCACCCCATGGGGGCAGATCAGCGCCGCGCACGGCGCGCTGGTGTGGGCGTTTGCCAATGTGTTGTATTCTGCTCGGCGACCCACTAGGGTCCCCATTCAGTGACCGGGCCACGGGTCCGCAGGCCAGACCTCCCCCCAAGCTCGGGAGTAGGCAAGGTGATAGGTGATAGATGTTCATTTTGGTATGCGTCCTCTCATTCGCCCACCAGACCGACGTCTTCTCGGACGTAGTTCTTCTTTGGTCACTCCACAGGGGAGTTTATTAAGCTATAAAAAGATTTACAGGGTGATGTACATTGCAGAGTTTCACATGAAGGTGTACACTGCAGATAATATTTCATTACATTGACAGATATTTACAGTATGGAGGTGGCTAAGTTATGGTATTGACAGTACGTGGGAGTATTCATGTGGATTATGTAAGAGTGTTGTGTGTTCGCTGGAGGCACTGAAATTCTTTGGTATCTATGATGCACAAAAGTTCATTAGTTCGTAAGTTCATAGTGCATCACAGATTTTTGTTTGTACACTAGGGCACAGTTGTGCTCTTGTTTTGGCAGTGGTGAAGAGCTGTAATCATGGTGAGCATTGAGGTTTCTGGATGATTTCACAGGTGGCATTTGATTGGGATTGGCACTTGTTGGAGTTGATGATTTTTAGAGAGCATCCATGTTTGCTTGGTTGATAAGGTTGGTGGTAAGCATCTTAGGGGTGACAGAGGTCTAATCCGATTCAATTTAGCTTGTCAATGATGTTCTTGATTTGATGGTGGACTTTGAGATGAGTGATGAGGAATTTCTTGAATGGTAGTTGTAGGTCCGTAGGGTGTCGGATGTAGTGTTCCTCGGTGATTGGGCAGTAGAACATGTAGTGGTCGGCATCCCCTTCCTCGCCGCATGTGCATAAGCTGGATTGTGTGAGGTTTCGTTCATGTAAATTTTTAGGGAATGGTCCATGACCGGTGATATATTGTGTCAGGTAGTAGTTGGTTATGCATCTGTTGATGTTTACTTGTGGGATGAGGGAGTATGTTCGGCGGCCTTGCACTTCTTGATTCCAGTTGTGTTGCCACTTCATGATGGCAAGTTTCTTGAGGTGTTGTTTGAGACTGGACTTAGGCCAAGGGTGAGTGATGAGGGTACCAACTTGTTTCAGAGCGGCTTGTTTGGCAAGGTGGTCGGCTCGTTCGTTGCCTTCGCAACTATTGTGTCCTCTTGTCCAGGAGAGGATGTGTTTGTGTGGCCAGTTGCTGATAAGTATTTGGATATTCCGGACTATGGGTGAGTTGGTGTCAAGGTTCTTGATTGCGTAGATGGAGGACTGGCTGTCTGTGATGATGTGGATTGGATCTGCTTGCAGTTGTTGAAGAGTTTGGATGCTTTCTTGTATGGCTGTAAGTTCTGCTTGGTGGACACTATTTTGATTTTGAAGGTGTCCTTGCCATTCTTGGATAGTGGTTGAGTGATGCTGAAAGGTAACTCCACTTCCTACTTTCTCCTCTATTTTTGAACCATCCGTGTATGCTATGAATTCTGTTGTTGGAGGTGGGGAGTTGATGTTGCACTGGAGGTTTGGTAGTCCAAGAGCTGGATGCTGGAAGAACTTGTTCGGTTTTGCTTCATATTGGTCTGGGTAAAAGGTGATGTCTTGGAAAGTTGTGGATTTCTTTAGCTGGAGTACTGTTGTCGAGTGGGCTTATATTTCAGCTATGATTGGGAGTGGGAGTTCCCCTGCCAGTATCTGCAATGCATTGTTGGAAGTGGTACGGAAGGCTCGTGTGAGGTTCAGTAGGAAGGGGCGTATGATGGCATTGAGGGTTCTTTTCTTCCTTTCAGTCATGGATAGTGCCCAAAGCGATGCTCCGTAAGTGATGATTTTGTAAATGACTCTTTGGAGTAATATTTTAATTAGGTGGTGATTGAGTCCCTATGTATATCCTCTCATATTTCTGATGGCATTTGCTATTTTGGAGGCGATTTGTTTCTTGTTTTGAAGATGCTGTATCCAGGTGAATTTTCTGTCGATAGTTAATCCTAGGTAGTTGATTGAGGAAACACATTTTATTCTATGGTTGTTGATCTTGATTATTGGTTGACGGATGATGGTTTGTCCAGGTTTATGGATGATGAGAGCTTGTGACTTGCTATGAGAGATTTGGAGTTTGACGCTATTGCATAGGTCACTAAAGATGTTTAGGGTTTCGTTGCAGTGTTGTTGTTGATCTCTTGTTTTTCCGCTTACTACGAAGGCAACGTCCGCGAAGGCGACTATTGTGGTATGATCAGGATATTGATGGTTGACAATATTATTGAAAGTGATGTTCCAGAGGTCGGCGCTTATGCATGACCCCTGCGGGCATCCTCGAGATTGCTGTTTGGTAATGACTTGGTTATTATATATGATGAGACTTTTTCTGTTGTTAAGGAAATCGGTTGTCATTTGATAAAGGTTTCTTGGTCATTGAAGCTCTCTGAGGGCCTGCTTAATTGCTGGCCACCAGAGAGAATCAAAGGCATTTTGGAGATAGAGGCACAGGAGGGCTGAATCCTGCTGGTTTCTTTAATTGTGGTGAATCTGCGTTAGAGCTGCTTCAACGGCCTGAATGGTGGAACTTTGGGGTTTGAAGCCATATTGATGGGAGCTGATTTTGCTGTCTTTGTAAACGTGGTATTTTAATCTATTGATAAGCAATCTTTCGAGGAGCCGGGGGCTGCGACAGGTGACAGGTGACGGAGGACGGGGACGCCTGATGTTTAACAGAGGTAAACAGGCATATGTCCCGCGCCCTCCCCTATCTAGTTGTTCAGGGCATATGCTTACGCACCCCGACGCCTACGGTCAAGAAAGATGATTTCGGGGCACTGCAGGCGTTGGCCCATTAGGGCTGTTTGCGCCACTGAGTTTAATTCCTTTTAGTGAATGAATTAGCTGTTTTATTATCCTTAGATCTTCCCAAATATCTATTCTTTTTTTAAACGTATTATAAGGTAGTTCTCCCGCCTTCTTAGCATGCCTGGTGTAGTGGTTAGCACGCTCGGGGCGTATTCGAGGGGTCCGTGGTTCGAGTACCTGCGAAGGCATTCCTCATTTTTCACATCTACAGTTTGGAAATAACCTATTGTCTCTATGGGGGGCCCGAACTAAAAAAGGTGGTGCATGATGATTCTGCATCACCAGGATTTGGCTAACGGTTCTCTTAATCCCCAGTCGCCGTTTAAAAGGGGGAGTATATAAAGAATTTCTCTCGCCTTCTTAGCATGTCGTCGTAAAAAAGTGGTCAGTACGTTTGGCGTGTATTCTTAGAGGTCCGTGGTTCGAGTTCCGGCGAGGGTAGTGTTCGTTTCTCATCTTTCCTGCTTCGAAATAACTTGATGTCTCTACAGTACCATCTTGCGCATTTTCTAAATAATAAAGGACCACCCAGCGGCCGAGCGGTAAAGTCGCTGAACACTGGTAGTTCGGTCCGAGGTTCGAATCCCGCGTACGGGCTGGCTGCATGGGAGGTTTCGTGTTTTTCCCCATGTGTAACGTGTTAACGAGCCAGTTTCCCTTAGAACGTTTCCACGAAGGCATCCCTCCCCTTAGGCAGATAGCCCTCGTGTGCTTTGCCATAATTAAATACACCTTTCTAAATAATAGCTTCCTTGAACGGTTTTAATTGCGGCTTATCAAGAAAGTCTAATCCCCAGTCCCGATTTGCTATGAGTGTCTAACCCGTTTCATTGACGTTAATTTTATCAGTTTACCATTTCTGAATTGTTTAGGAATTTCAGCCGTTTTTGTTTTGGAATATGACACCTAAAAGCAGGGAGTTAAATTCTGACAAGCGTTCTACGGTTCTTTATACAATGACGGGATCTCTCAACTGTTAAGTAGCAGTCATGTCATGGTTTCGTACTTTGCAAGATTCAGAATACAGTGGTGGCCAAAATTTTGGACACTTTTGGAAATTTTTATATTTTTGAAATTTGTATGCTTATACAAAAAGTTACGTTTCACAAAATGCAAACTTGTATATATCATTTTAAAGAGAATTTATTACTGAATTCAATAAAAAAAAATTCAATTATTTGCAATACAAAAAAGTTAAACGATAATAGTTATCGATATACATTAGATAGCGATGATTGCAGTGAGTTATCAGTACTTAGTAGGGTACCCTTTATTTTTGATTACAGCTTCACATCGACGTTTCATTGAGCTGACAAGAGTTTTAAGCTCTTCTTCCGTTATTACATGATGCCAGGAAACAATTATAGCCTCAATTAGTTCCCTTTTATTTGATGGGCGCCTCATTCGGACAAGAGTTTTCAAACGGTGCCACAAGTTTTCGATAGGATTGAAGTCAGGACTGTTTCCTGGCCATGACAACAATTTAATGCTCTTTGTACGAAACCACTCTTTCGATGTTTTGGCCGTGTGGCAAGGTGCAGAATCCTGCTGAAAAATAAACGAAGCATTGTTGGGAAAGAGATCCCTGATGGAAAGTAGAAGTTATGGCTCTAGAATAGCGTCAATGTATTTTCTGGCATTCAGTGTCCCATCGATGACATGAAGGCGACCAATACCATCTGCTGACATGACATAAACCAAATCATAACACTAACTGGGTTCTTCACAATTGCTTGAATGAGTCAGGATGTAGCTCTTCTCCTATTCTACGTCTTACACATTTTCGCCCCTCACAACCTTATCTTAATTTTCATGAACATTTCTTTTCGTTGATGAAAATTAAGATAAGGCTTTTTTCGTGGAATTCTACCTCTCAGTCCAACATCTGTTAATCTTCTCCTGATTGTTCTTGAACTGACAGAAACACCAGCATCATTCAGATCACTTCTGATGGCCGCTGATGACATTTTTTTATCTTGGAGGCATAGTCGTTTTATTCTTCTGTCATCAATAGATGTGATGCACCTTTTCCGGTCTTTTCCTTCTTTATTTTTTTTATTAAATTTGTCTCCTGTTATCGTAAACAAAACTTTCGGATTCCAGATGTAGTCACTGAACCACCCAGTCTTGCAATTTCAGCATAGGAAAGACTACTTTCTGATAACACAATAATATTATATCTCCTTCTAGGTGTCCAATATACTCTTTTATTTGATGTCATTTGCTTCTTGACTAAATATTAAAAATTTTTTTCAAAAATTCGTACTTGTAATTGCAGTGTATAAGAAAGAGGTCCTCGTTCTACAGAACAAAACAAAATAATGAATTGTTTCAAGTGTAAACATGATGCCAGCTTCTACTGGCAGTTACTAACATTTGATTGGTTCGTTACTAACATTTGATTGGTTCTCAGAACGGGAACAGTGATCGGCCAGGAAAGCTAGACATTACAAACCACTTCATAACTGTGTTTTTTATTTATATTAAAGTACATATAACTTTTTTTGTATTGCAAGTAATTGAATTTTGTGTTTTGTATTGAATTCAGTAATAACTTCTCTTTAAAATGATATATACAAGTTTGGAGTTTGCGAAATGTAACATTTTTTATAAGCATACAAAGTTCAAAAACATAAAATTTCCAAAAGTGTCCACAATTTTGGCCACCACTGTATATTCCTCAACAGGGTTGTTTTTTAGCCCAAAGGAGCGTTTGCTCAAAAAGGCTACTAATTTGAAAACGGCATTATGAGTTGAATCACTTTAAACTTCCGAACCACGTTTTAGATACTGTTGCCATCAATTACTTTCTCTCTGTATTATATTTAAAGAAATTTATTTACTAGCGAAGAACATACATGTATGTATGTTTCTCGCATTGTGAAAAAGAAACGGTATACCTAGATCCATCAAATTTGAATAACGTAGTCCTTTCCCCTAAACATGGACCACCTGGATAGCCGAATTTGGAATTTCGAAATTGTATTGTTGTCTATTTCATATCTGTAAAACGTGGCGAACTTTTGACTAAAAAATCTCAACAATTTGAAAATGAGCTGTGGCAAAACTGTAGGAAATAAAATATTTTTATTTATTTCCAGCGCGAGAAATTGTCTATCCGAAACTCTAAAGGTAGTTTGTTTTAAAACATTTTTAACTCAATGTTGCGTTATCCCAAACGCTCTCGAAACGTGTGTACGTCTGTAAATAAATAAAAAAAAACATTCGTCGTATAATATAAAATTTTAAATCTTTCAGATTTTTATTTAGCCAAACGTGAAGTTCGCCATAAACGGCTGTTAGTCTCGGAACGGCATTTTACGTTGAATCACTTAAATGCGTTGTATTAATTTTCAAACTGTTGCCACTAAATATCATCGCTAAATGATTATTGTATTCTATTTAAAGAAATTAAACAATGAAAAAACTACATGAATATATGAATGTTTCTCGCACTGTTAAAAAAACAACTGTACCTAATGTCATCAAATTTTGAATAACGTATTCCTCCACCCGAATATGGGCACCTGGAATCCCGGGATTTAAATTTTGTTTTATTGTCTGTATCATATTTTGTAAAACTTTTACGAAAATTTTATTACGAAGCTCAACAATCTCAAAGCGAGCAATCGCAATACTGTACGAAAAAAAAAAAATTATCTCGAACGCCCGAGAGTGTCTATCGGAAATTCTAAAGATATGCTGTTTTTAAATATTTTTTGCCCCGAGGGACATTAGCCCAAATGCTCTCGAAACGTCTGTGTAAATGAAAGAAACGCATCTTTGGGCGTAATATAAAATCTGAAATCTTCCAGAATTTTTTTTTACAATGTCGGGGTTTAGCCGTTTATAGGTGTTGGCCACTACTAAAGGCAGAAGCGTTAGTTTCTTTATCATGACAGCACCTATTAGGCTGGCCAACAATGCCTCCCATGAAGGGATAAACACATTACATCCATGCCTTCTCATGGATCCCAGCCAACACCCTTCGCTATGGCTGTCAAAGTCACAAACCATTTTCCCGTTTGGAGGCACGACAGAAATAATAACACCAGAAAATAATCTTTGCATCTATTAAAGCATATCTTAATGTTATAAGAGAGATGAAGTTACTATTTTGGTAAACTAATAGTAACTGCATCTCGAAGAACTATATAAGCTGATGTATGACAACCTTTATGCAACGCATGATTATTTCCCTAGTTTGGTGCTTCAGATCAGTAACGTTAAGCAATGCATTAAATTATCTAATTTAAAAGCTTCGTGTTATGGATTGACACAGTGTTGCAGCAAAGCTGGAAGTAACATGTTACGTAGTTTATAGAATTATTTGTTACAATGCTTAAATATATATGAAAAAGATGGTTTGTGTGTTTTTCCTGTGATAACTCAGTCACTACTATAGCTCTCGTCAGCAAACTTTCTACCATTCTTTTGTCGGTCCTGGAAAAGGTCGAAGGCCACATTTTTCATAAACAATTAGCTAAAATCAGAGATAGTAATTAAAAACTAGGAAAAAAGATAATCTTCTCCCTCATTTTTCCGAGTGACAATAGTTTGGCAAACTGGAGATGAAAATCTGTTTTATTTCGAAAGTTGTTGCCCACTGTTCGCTTTCACATCCTACGGTTTTTACTTCCTTGTACGAAGTAAAAAGGAAGTATTGTAATCGCGAAAAGTTTCAGGCAGCTTATTTCAACGAAAATATCCATTTTGACCGCTACCGAATGCAATTTAACGTCGTTTTTGCGTGATATCTGTACGTAAGGACAGAATAAAAGACTCTTTTCCTCCAAAAAAATTAAAAAACTGCTTTAAAATGAATTCTGAAGACAATTTTTCGTGGCTTCTATACGAACGTATGTACGTACGTATCTCGCATAACTCAAAAACGACTAGCCTCAGAACGTTGAAACTTTGTATATAGGACTGCAATAACATGTAGATGTGCACCTCGTATTTTCGTTGCAGTCGCCCGCACCAAACGTATATAAATATATTTATGTATATATCCACTCTGTTACTCGGTTCAGTGATCTCAGTTTATTTACTCTTATATGTTTGTCAATTGTACATTTTTTGCTTTAAAAATGATTGAATTATGTTGTTCTTATCTTCCGGTTAAGGTTTTTATGCCTTTAATAAACCTGTCTGCAATATTGTAAGAATTATCAACAATTTTAAAGTTGTTTAGGTGCTGCTAAGCCTAATATTTTTTTTTGATGGTGGCCATTGCTTGTTTACATTTGAAACAGCAGAGTAGTGGATTTGTTGCCAATCTAGAGAAACTTAGCTTCGCAACAACAAAGATAACGCCTTCATTTATTATTGCGAATTAAATCATGCTTAATCCTTTCTGGAATTTTTTCCAGGGAATAAGTATTTAAGATTAACTTCGTAATTTTTAATACAGATATTTTGAATTTTATGTATTTTTGCTTTGTCGCTAAGTGAGAACGGAATTAATTGAATGAGAAGTATTCAATCGTCTGTGAAGAAAACGGTTCTTTTTTGTTTTGTTTGCTTAATTTCTTTTATTCATCGTTCTAGCTTTATTATAGTATTTGAATAGAACATGTGGCAACGATTAGATAATTCTTTAAATGCTATAAATTTTGTGCATTCGGAGTTATAATATGAACGAAGTATAATAGTGTTAAGGGAACCTAGCGCCAGAGTGTCACTATGGTAAACAAATAGAGTGAATTTTAAAGAATGCATTTATTCTATTGTGGTTTATGCGCTGTCGGCGAAGTAGATTTAATTCAATCCAATTAGTTTAAATGAAATGCAAGAAAAATGCGTATAATTTAATATCCCATACAAGGAAGTCATGTGGTGTACACATCAGATTTTTTAATAAAGAATTTTTAAGTTTTACGATGAAATAACAATAGCATCGCGAAACATTCAATACATTATTTCCCATTCCAAAAATTCGTGGGAAGCCATTTCGACTGAGTACGACTTCAATCAGCCGATATATATAATTATTAAAAACTCCGAAGACATTCATTTTCGCACTCATTTTTCCGAGTTGCAACAGTCTCGACCATTGGAGATGAAAATTCTTTATGTCGAAAAGTGTTGCTACTATTCGCTTTCAAATCGTAGAGTTTCTTAGTAAAAAATTTATAAGTTTTACAAAATCTATATAGTAGAATGCCTGTTTGTGTGTTTGTTTGTTGTTCGCATTGTTGATTTTTAATGAATTATGATCAATGTTTTGCAATATTTAATTGACTAAAATTAAATATAAGTGAAATATTTGATGGAACTTGAGCTTTTACGCCCATTTGATTAGAAAGACGAAAATCATTAAAAACAACGTACCATTGCTGCTGATATAATGAGGAAGAATTAGTTTATTTTTCTATCAAAATACAGAGGCTGTTCGCACATTTTTTAGACTGTTTTGGTAAGCGGTAATAAAAAACGTTTGCTACGAAAGAAATAATTGCAATCATACTATGTTTTCAAAAGCCAAAATTATCGTCTGTGGCTTGAAAGTTTTGTTTGTATTCAAAATGGCGAATTTAACAAAGCAGTGTTTCGAAGGCTACATTTACGCTCTTTCCGAAGAGAAGTATGCACACTCCGTTATCCAAAAACGATGTGAGAGTCATGGTTTTATGATATCTAAAGCGTCGATAGGTAATATCATCAAGAAGAAAGGAAAAAAAGTCCAATTGGAGCTCCAAGTGGGACAAAAATTCCAAACAATTATCCAAGGAAAAAACGGACATCTTCGACTATTGCAAAGGTACGTTGTTTAATAATGTTAAAATAAAATCTCCCTAGTCAAAGGACAGTTGCAAAATCATTAAAATGCTCCGTGCCCACTGTAATTAAAATGATGAACGTCGATTTAAATCTTAAGAAAGCGAAAAAACGCAATGTGCATAGTCTTCTTCCAAAGCATATCGCACAACGCAGGACACGCTGCAGAATTCTATATGAGAAATACTTATCCAAAGAAAAATGTTAAGCAATTGTCACAATAAATGAAGCAATGATAAATTTAAATGAGTGTAACAAAAAAAGAGACATTTATTATCATAAAAGGGAAGAAAAAATTTACATGGTTCAAAGAATCGAAAGGAAGTTTTTCTAAGGGATTCATGATGGCTGCTGGTTTTCTTATAATGGCAAGTTAAAAATAAAGAGAGTGCAAAAAATGTCAAGATTAACTCCAAATACTACCAGGAACATATTTTATCGCCAATTTTTCTGAATGAAATACAATTGCTTTACCCACAGTGCCATCCATCTGTGAGACTCCATTAGGACAAAGCTAGCAGTCACACATCAAGATCCACGATGAATTTTTTAAAAGAAATGGAACAAAACAGTGGTATCAAGGCCATAGCCTTCACTGATATCCCTACTCAATCTCCCGATGTGTCACCTATGGATTTTTGTGTTTTCGGACTTTTAAAAACTGCATTATCCAAACGTTGTCCCAAAACCCTAACAGGACTCTGGAAAGCTGTTCGGGAGGAATGGGATAGAATATCTCTTCTGCCACTTCAAAAGGCGTTATTATCCTGGAAATTGCGGTGTCGATAGATAGTTCGGAATAAAGGATGTCAAATAAAACATTTAAAAAACAAGAATTTTATGTAATTTAGTTTTGTGAATACAATATACTTCGTCTAAAAAATGTGTGAACAGCCTCTGTATTTTATGTGGCTTCCATATCGCATCAGACTAAAAAATGTATGACTATGAATCGTACTTGTACTTTTTGCATCGTTATTGGAGAAGGATTACATCGGTATCATTCTCTCTGGTGATAGATGCATTACTCTCAAGCTAACTCAACTGCCATCGCGTACATTTGCTAGTACGTAATGTATAACAACGCAGCTCTCTCAATATAATACATTTTTGCAGCAGTTTGAACAAGAATTGGACCACTAAAGATTGAAACCTTATGTAAATTTGGTTACTGAGCTGCGTTTATATAGTATGACTAAGAAAGAGGACACGTCTCATGGGAAGTTCAGATCCGAAATTAGCTGACAATAAATAATACCGCAAAGTGGATTCTCCGAATTTATTATCTTATTGCATATGTGTAGGAATTTTAATTGCTTTGTAATGCGCTTGCGGGTAATAATAAGCAATTAACATGCACTATCTTTGAAATCAACATCCAGAGGCCAATTTAAGGGGACTCATACACCTTAAAACCCATAAGATGTTCGAATAGGTGACTGTTGCAAGAATTGGGATAACTTACTTATTTTAAAAGCAATTACTACCAACATTTTACAGCTGGCTACATAATATAGCTGCTTTCTGAAATAGTCATCAGAAAGTTTGTGTTGCCACAGATATTTTTAGAATTTAATCTGCTTTGTGACAACATTTTTTGTCATGTTTCCAACTTGCGCGCACAGTTTAAAACATTCTGTTTCATAATTTATTTACATATTTAATATATAGCTTTTATAACATTTGAAAACTACTGTGAGCCTAAAATTCTAAACATTTCACGTTAAATTTTTATTTTATTTTGAGTGGAGTTTATAAAATGTATTTTATTAAAAAAATTTGTAATTTTTTCATCCATAAAATTTTTCAATATTAAAATATTCATCAGATTGTTGGTTTAATTAGAAAATAGTGTAGTTCTGTTAGAAAATTCCAAGTTGTTCCAACTTGTTCTGTTAGAAAATTCCAAGTTGTTCCAACTTGTTCTGTTAGAAAATTCCAAGTTATTCCAAATTGTTCCAAAATTCCAAGTGAAAATAGTGTAGTTCTGTTAGAAAATTCCAAGATTATTGGTTCAGTTAGAAAATTCCAAGTATGTACCATTAGCCATTTTTAAAATATCATGCGGGCAAGGTGGAAACATGGCGAAATATGTTGTCACAAAGAGAATTAAATTACAAAAATATTTGTGGCAACACAAACTTTCTGGTGACTAGTTTCCAAAGCAGCTATATTATGTAGTCAGCTGTAAAAAGTTGGAAGTAATTGCTTTTAAAATAAATAAAATATCCCAATTC